GGGGGGGGGGGTGGGGGGGGGGGGAGGATGATGGAACAAAGAGGATGTACTTTTGTGATGGAGGGAGGGTCTGCTTTTGTAACAATCGACCAGAAGCGGCGGGGGCGGGAACCGCGATATGTAGTACTTGACCATGTATGGTGTGCACGGTGTGTAGTACGAACAAAACACGGGGTCCGATTTCATTATCATTATGATACACAAAATAGATAGGGGTAAGACCAAGAAAGACTGACCTTGTGTGTGCGTCAAGAAAGACTGACCTTGTGTGTGCGTATCCCACGCTCTTCTATGGTCCGGGTGGTGCATATTGTGACTTTTGTTTCGCGTGGTTCGACGCCGCCAGCTTTGTGTATCAACATTTTGTCTATTATGTGGGTTTGGTCTGTTTCTTTTTGGTGACCGTTCAGTTAACTTGGTGGAATGCGGCCCTACACTGTAGGTGGTTCAGTACGATCGGTGGATGTGCGGTGCAAATATTGGCGGTTCAGTTCAATCTGGTGGAATGCGTCTCATATGTTTGGCGGTTCAAAACTGTTTCGGCAGAAGTGTGGTGCATATATTGGCGGCCTGTGTAGCCCAGTAGGCACAGTCGTTGACGGTGCGGTTTAATTTTTTGTGGTGGCTATATTTTTTGGTTGTGCTGTGTGTGAAAGGATTGCTTAGTCAACGCGCGCCAATGTTCTTGGTTTTCTTCATTTGATGCGTGTCGACATTGTTTTTGGTGACACCTCCCACCTATGGTGTGCTGCTGCTGCTGCTGCTGCTTGGTGCGGGAGTATGTGGGTGCTGTCGGGCAGTGGTATGTTCTTCACCCAAGTTTTTCGGGTCGAAATAATTTGGTGGGGTAACTTCACCAAACCCAACTATAGCCGGAAACGTTCCGGTCCGCTACGTGGTAGGGAGTCGCTTGGGCGTGCGTGCGTGGAGGGAGGGGGGGGGTCACCATGTGCGGTGCGAGCGGACTGGAGGAAGGTGGAAGTCTGAAGGGAGAAAGAGGGAAACATATTCGATCCCGTATGCTGCTGTCGTCTTCCTCGGTCGGTTGCTGCTGCTACACTTATCATAGACACAGGCCCTTGCGGAGCGAGCGGCAGCGGGTGGGCCTTTGGCGAAAAACGAAACAGCAGCAGTTTGTGGGTATTATTAGTATTTGCAATCGTGTGATGTCTGTCATGGATGATTGATTCCGTGGAAACGTCATGCCATGGGACGGCAATATTATCGTCGGTATATGCATGAACATCGATAAATTTATCGATAGAAAGTAGGGCACAGTCTCTCTTTGTGTACTACGCGGGAGTTTTTTCTACCCGCGGTCCTTTCCGACTCGGGCCGATCCTCTATGGGGCGGGAGGAAGGGGAATTTGAGACTATTTTTTTCTATCCATGACCAAGTGACGATGCTGCTGCTTGCAAACAAAACCATCACATTAGCCTACACCTTGCTCGAGTTTCGACTCACCATCCAACTCCGATTGAGATTTGGTGGCGGCCTGTTCAGCAATGGATCGCTCTCTCTCTATCTCTCTCTCTCTGTAATAGGAGGGTCTGTCTGCGTGCGTCACGGAGGAGAGCGCAAAAAACAAGAATGGTTGGAGGCCGAGCTTTACGGACGATGCCTCACGACACATTACATTCTTTATCAGGCTGCGTGATGTGATGTAGTGAATGAAGTCCATCCACCCCCGGTGGCGCACACCGCGCTCATTACCGACGATATCATTTTTTTTTCCTCCTCGAAGCGATGGAATTTCGTTGCGGATGGGCCTGCCTGTCTGTACAACATTCGTGTGCGAGTAAAGCAGCAGTGGGTGAGCTTGCTCAAGGACTTCCATTTCGCAAGACGAAGCAGAGAGAACCCGAAAAATTCATGCAGGTCTTCAACCAAAATTCAACCAGGAATTCATCCAAAACAAGGCACCCCCCCCTATCTTCCGGAGGGCAAGGGGGCTACGCACGTGGGATGTGCAGCAACAGGGCCGAACCAGAGGGTACGCTGAACGCAACCACGGAGTGCTGGACGGCGAAAATTATATTTTCCGTGTGTTCCCTTCCCACCGTCTCGATTCCACATGAAATTGACCCCGATCGCGATCGGCCGCGCGTGGGAGGCACGGAACGGCCTTTAGGTGGGCGTCAAGCTGTAACCCATGGGAGAAAAATGATGGTACACGACAGTGGAGCGGTGCACACGTTTTCACGCTATATCACGGAGCCCCCGTCGGTATCGATTTGCCCCCAATATGCTCTCTCTCGCAACATACACAACAGGGATCCAACCCAACTCGGAAGGTGCATTTTTGCTATTGCGGTGAGCCATCGTCAACCAGGAGGGGCGCAGCAGCACAACCCAGCGGTTGGTTGCTCCAGAGGCAGGCTTTCAACGACACCAGACCGGCTAACGGGGCAGGTGCCGCACGATGTAGGCCAACACGGATTGGAAGTCCAGTCGATCCCTGCCAACCGAAATCCTCAAGATTGGATGACGCTATGCAAGCTATTTGGAGGGGCCTTGAACCGACACACGATTCGGGGTGGCTACTCCCTCCCTCCCGCCTTCGCAATCATCTACAGCAACCCCCCGATGAGGCATCAATCATAGTCGTCCATGCCGTAGTCGTTACGACATTGCCCTCGCATCCCTACAAAGCCGGGGCGGAGCACGCCGGGTTCTCACCGGACCAGGCTCTCAGATCACCAAGCGCGAAGCGTTGTGAGGTATTTGGCGAGTCGCATGGAGGGTGCGCTGTGCTAGGGGGGGGGGGGGGGGGGGGCGATGGCAGCATCACTGGCTCAGCCACAGCATCCATCCTTCATCACGGAGACCGACCACACTCGCCCCACAGATCTTTGGTCATTCTCCCAACATCAACCAAGCACAAGAAAACGAACAGCCGACAACACCGTGCCTACAAAACCGTACGGGCCGCGAGATACCGGCGTCAACAGTCTCTCCCCGATGACCTATCCGGCGTCTGACTAACCCTGGCGAAACACAATCCAGCACACAGCAGTATGAAAGGAAGAGGACTTCGTTGGCGCAGCGTTTCGCGTGATAGTGCGGCCAAGGCCCCCCAAAACCAGCCAACCAAGGTCGGACATCTTGATGAAAAGACCGGCGGTTCGTCATCATCGTTGGCTTGCGAACGAAAAAAAAAAAGAACAAAAGTTTCTTTCTGTTCGCCAGGAAAAGAGTACTTATCGTAGGGCTAGTGGTTCCGGTTGACGATCTTGTGGGCTAGCTGCACGAGCGCGTTCTGTGCGGGGGAGTCGTGCAGCGTCAAGATCGCGGACATTGCCTTCTCTGCCTGCACGACGGCCACCTCCTTCGCACGCGCGATGCCGTCCGACCTGTGCACCAGTTCCAACGCCTCGTCCACATCTCCTGTTACGCACGCGCGACACAAGAGCAGGAAAGACTGGGTTTGGCTGAGTGTGTGATGGGCCGGCAACGTACACAAAAGTTTGCAACAAGAGCGACGACGGGATCGGGGGTTGACAATGTTAAAAGCAAACGAAAAATGACGCGGTGACGCCTACAATTGCCTGCAAGTAGAGCAAAACGACTGCTGCATCCTTGAATCCACCACTGAAGAACCCCGGCAATGGTGTGGTTGAGATATGCACGTGCCTGGAAGAAGGTCAAGCGTAACCAAAGCTTCGATGCCTCCCTTCCCTTCGACTACAGCAGTACCTTGCACAAGAGGGGAAAGGGATGAACGAAAAGACAAGACACGTAAAAAAAATAACAACTTGCAGCTAACATGTTCGGTGGATACACGTGCCCACGGTCTCATGAAACCTTCAAGACACGGTGCCCTAAAAACCTAAAAAAACTCGACAACCAGCCTTGCGCTAAAAAATAAAATAGAACCTCACCGGGCCCCCTAAACTTCCTCGAGATAAGCTTGGCCAACCCCGGCTGTTGCTCAGCAGCAAGCAGTACAGGCGCGGTCGCCAGGCCTTGCCTGCACCAGTATCAACCCATCGAAGCAGCATGACAAAATCAACAGATGGCCCACAACAGAGACGCAAATTGCCAATACAAGTTCGGCGCGGCAAATGGACGGGGTAAAGGTGCGCGCGCACACGGGTATGTACGGCTGAACGGACAAGGAAAAAACATCGCAAGCCGAGCCTTCCGCAATTGAGCGTTGAATGCATGTTTACTAGCTTGCAAGAGGAATACAACGTGACAAGTGATCGCCCTGCTGGGTGATTCTGGGGCTATCTTGCTCCATGTATACCTTCACGGTGAACTGAGGACTGCGGAGCGGAGGGAGGTCAAGTGCGAGCGCGAAAACCAGAGAGCGAGACACACCGGTGTCCCGTGCATGTTTACCGCTTGACGGAATTATTGAGATAGCCCGCCGCCCACTACACAGGTAAATGCCATAGGAATGTTTGGTACCCGTGGCTCAATGTTCCCAACCACACGGCGTAATTCGAAGAAACAGGAACATCACGGCCCACCAGTCCACGACGGCTACCATCATCATCAACGACGACAACAAATCGGTTTTCCTCCACTCACTGCTGTAAAGACTCCACCACATCCCGTTCGAATGTGGGTATATTTCGAACGGGTAGTCTTTCTGTGTGTGTATTTATTTTTCCTAATATTCTAAACGACTGATAACCTATTTCGCGGCAAGAATTCCCGCACGACAAGAAAAGGCAACATACGGCGCGCACTTTCTGAACGATTGGACCACGTCATCTCGCACCAAATGTCTCCTACTCTGTCAATCTTCTTCTCTGCCTGTCTGTCTGCCTATCTGCCTGTATCTTTTTGTTTGTCTGTCTGTCTGTCTGTCTGTCTGTCGGTCGGTCGCTTCCCCGCCCTCACCGCAAGTCATTGAGCGCCGGCTTCCCCAGCGTGAAGGTGTTCCCCTCGAAATCCAAAATATCGTCCACGAGCTGAAACGCCAATCCCACCCGCTTCCCGTACTCGAACGCCACCTCTTGCACCTGCAAAAACCGTCGCACAAACGTCGTGTGAACAGGGTCTCGGGAGCCTTGAGGACAGAAAGTTGGGGTAGCCCACTTGAAGATACAATAGGACCCTGATTGCACCGCAAAAACGGGTGTCATGTCCGCCGGCTCGCGAACTTAACGATTGGTGGTAAATTTGCTGTTGTGCGAAGTAAAAACCTGTCTGCAAAATCGCTCAGGTTCGCCACCGTTTTTGAGAAGGCCGTACATTCCACCTGGAACTGACTGCCTTGTGCGGCTAAACAATGGATGGGCAAAGAGAGCCAACATATCACAAAAGCAACGCAACAAACATTCACGCAACACCCCAGCCTCGCTTGTAACATCGTTTGCGCATGCATGTGTCTAGACCGTTAAAAAACATCAGGCTTTCTAGAACAGAAGGGCCAGGGAACCCTCTCGATGAAGGCTATAGAGAAAACGACGAAAAGGAAGGGAGGTCGGTGTGTCTGAAAAAAAAAAAAAAAGCACGACGCACCTCGAGGTCGTGCTGGCCGAGCACCGCAGAGGCCTTGCAGCTGTTGGCCATGAGGCTGCCCGTCTTGTAGTAGTTCTTTCTCACGTAATACTCAAAGGCACCCCCCCCATCCTCCGTCGGTCTCATCTGCAGAACCTCTCCCTGCACACGCACGAATGCAGACAGCCATGGAAGGGATGGATTCATTTTTTTCTTTTTGGGGCAATTTGATATCGAGTTGAAGGTAAATGGCGCAATCAATGCCTACGCACGCATGTAGAGAGAGAGCCATGGAGGGATGGATTCATGGACGAGAAAATTCGATATTGAGTCGAACGATAAAATAGCGCGATCAACGCCTACCGTACGCACACGTGTAGACAGCCGTGAAGGGATTATTCATGGAGAAGATGATTCCATACAACGAGTTGAACGAAAATAGAGCGCAATCAATGTCTTGAAGATGTGCGCTGCGTTGGCGGCTGGAGGGGGCAGGCCTTTGACTCGCCAGACTGCCGGGCATGGGTACAGCAGCGGGACCACATGCGGCGTCACCAGGGCACCAGTGAGCCCGATTGCTCTTGTTGTCGATGTGTTAACGTCCGAGACCGATCCAGTCTCTGCAGTCTCTCTGAGTCTCTGCAGTCTCTCTGCGAAAAAAAACTGGTGGTATCCAATACTTGTCCAACTGACGGTCACACCTTCCGTGGCCACGAGGGGACTACAGCAGTATTGCACCCCAAGAGGACACCTGGCACAAACGATAAGGGTAGGTTCGGGCTCGGTGGACGCAAGCACTCGCCACGACCAGCAAGCCGCGTACAACGAACGCAGTACCGCTGTCGGAAGACTATAAAAATATTGTAATGGTGTGGTGTAGCCTCGGGCACACCTTAACCAGGTGCTCGATGGCGGCGGACATGAGCTCCACGGACTCGAGGCTTCTCAGGCGGGCCAAACTCATCGACGACCGAGCTAGCAGAAAGTCACCTGCAAAAGGAAAGAGGAACAAAGGCGAGGAGCACAGCAAGCACTCAGCGCGTCAATCGTTCGACGACAGCGAGGGATGGACGTTTCTGTCCTCGGACAATTAAATCCCCTCTACTCTATCGAGATGGAAGTTCCTGTCTATTGGACAATCCCCTCTTTTGTGACACTGGCATCAATGGCGACATAGGCCCCCTTCTATGGGCGACACGGCGGAAGGGGCCATCCTAACGTGGAGATAGCCTTACCGTAGAGGTTCCGTTAGACATCACAAACCCTTTGGACAGATCGTCAAAGCTCGATTACCAAGCAGCAGCAAGAGGAGTGACGGTACCGAATGGCGTTGGAATCGTCTCGTCGAGAGCTTTCCGAAAACGTATATAACTCGAAATGTGGCATCCTCTTCGTCGTGGAGTAAACAATGCTTCGAAAATCGTTCCAGGGGGGGGGGGTGGTATCCTCCGAAAACGACGATAAGGGCAGGCAGGGTTTCTCCGTTGAATTTTGTGCAAGGAGAGGAGAGAGGGTAGAGGTTCCAGCAAGAGAGTGAGCAGCGGGACGGAGACATGAGCGCTTCCGCCTGCAAGTTGTAGCACGTGAAAGATGTCGAGTTGCCCTCATCAGTTGTCTCCCGACTTCCCCAGGTTCTTGGACACGTTTCTAAGCATCGCTTCTTCCTACACTGCGCCAACATACCTCTATTGCACATATGGCATGCAATCGGATTTAACCAAAACGCACTACATTCGGGCCAGGCACATGTAGAGGGTCTCGAGAGCTTTCTATTCTACCGTATCAGTCGACGCGCGGTAACGCACCCCGCCGCACGGTACCACATTTTCGGTGGCAATACGTTTCCGGGTCAACAAGAGCCCAACATACGAAAACTACTCTCAGATCGAGCTGCAGTGCGACAAACATGCTGTGCAACTGTCAACGCACCCGGGCGTAAGATTGTCGAGTCATGCTGAAATGGCATCACAGGGCTATTTTTTTCTTGCATCACCGCGGTAACCTATCCGGCAACCACCGTGGAATCGACACCGGCACCAGCCCTACTCAACGCTACAGTACCGGCGAAGATGGCCGTACGCACAAGCACTACTGCATTTCGCGCCCCACCGTATGCGTACATCCATTCTCAGGCAAAAACCCGTCAATCTGACTTGCCGGCAAGAATGGCGAGCTTGTTGCCGAAGACCTTGTTCACCGACGGCACCCCCCTCCGTGTGTCCGCCTCGTCGATGACGTCATCGTGGAACAAGGAGGCGGCGTGGATCATCTCCGTAATCTCCGCTAGCCGCAGCTGCAGCGGGTTCACCAGCTTCCAGAATCGCACCGAACCATGCAAATTTGAGTTTGTTTTTTCGGAGCAAGGCACAGAGACAAGCGTGGGAGAGAAGGGCGAGGAAACATTACCAGCTTTCGGGGGGTTAGCGTAGCACCAATCGCCATCACCACATCTACCACAAAGCTAGGAAACGTATTAGTGGAGCATTTGCCCGTGCAGTGTACAGCACCACCGGTACAGTGTGCAGTAGGGCAGCATGGTGCAAATTATCTTCCACGGGTTTACTGCACCGCAGGGCAACATGAGTATATCGAGGGTTGGGAAGCGACGGGCCAAAAGTAGTCCAACGGAACATGCAACATGGAACAAGGCAGAGCCAAACACCGAGAAATATATATGTAAACAATGTATACATACAGAGAGAGAGAGAGACGAACCTCTGTTCCCGGTTGGACATCCGGTCGAACCTGCTGTGAATTACTGTTGCACGCCTGGCTCATCAGGATAACCTATCACCACCGTACACAAACGTGCAACATTCAGCAGGGGGGGGGGGGGTCGACGAACCCAATCATGAAGGTGAGGGGGGAGAGATTGTTCGGTAGGCAACTTAACTTGCTTGCCAAGTTCAGCGAGCCAGAACATGTCAGATGCAGCCAAAACGACAACAAAAAGATGCAGGGCAGGGAGAAAAAAAAGCCACTCACTAGTCCAACGCAACAAACGACCTCCTTTTTTCACCGTTGCAGGACTTGTGTTCTCGCTAGTGGCTGTCGTCGTTAGACTCCACCAAGTACCAAAACGAAATCCGTTCGTGTACCGGTCGAGACGCACGGTAGACGGGGGTTCTTGGTAAGGGTTGTTGCTAAATTATACGGTCTTTCCATATTCCAACAACAAGATGAAATAAATGTGGGCTGCAATGGTTTCAGTAAAGCTAAGAATCGGATGGTTACCAAAACGATTCTATGCCATTTTCTCGACGACATGACGGAGGGTCACGACACCACGCAGTTAACGCCGGCCCCAATAGCGATAGCGCCCAGGATTACGGCAGCGAATTTCACCTAGCCAGCCAGTCCCTACCGCGGCTGAGACGGGAGGGGGTGGCAGCCGCAAAACAAAAGTGTAGAGCATCACAGCGCCCCCCCCCCCACACACACACACACAACCGTGGACTTACCCTTGTACGACCACAATACCTGTTGAAGCTAACCGTTGCCCTCGTAACCTTGCACGACCACACGGAAGCAACACCCGTTGAAATACCCGACGCTCGACCGCAACATCAACACCCGTTGTCACCAACAGCGGATCGACAAATCTGGTGATACGATGACGCAACCAAGCACCGCCCTTGTAGATACTCGCCATCGTGGGACGTATCTTCTTGCCGCCGTCTAGCTCGAAGAAGTACTTGGCCGCCGCGTTAAGCACGGCGTGCTCCGTGCCGATCAGGGACTTGATGCCGTCGCTCAGGCCCGCCAGCTCTGCCGACACCAGCTCGAAAGGGTCTGGCCCGTCCGCCAGCGACTGCGATGCCCCTGAAGGCCTGTGTTGGTTGTCGTTGTGGTTGAGGGTGTTGTTATTGTGGTGGTGGCTTGAGGATGTTATGTTGTGTAGTTGTTGCAGTTAAAAAAAGTAGTGTAACTGTTGATGTTGATGGTGTGGAGTTGCGATTGTACTAGTAGTAAAGAGTTGATGAGGATATTCATGTGTAGTTGTTGCTCTTGTAGCAGCAGCAGTAGTAGTTGATGATGATGACGTTGGTGTTGTGTAGTTTTCGCTGTTGTAGCAAGTGTAATTGTTGTTGATGATGATGATGATTTATGGTGGTATGCAGTTGTTGCGATTGTAGTAGTAGAAGTAGTAATAGCAGTTGATGCTACTTTTGTAAGCAGCGTGTATTGTTGCCTCCAGCGCTGACCAAAAAAACAAAAACAAGTTGTGACTGACAGCAATCAGATACAGAGGGGCGAGGTCGGCAAGACCATCGGAGTACCCTCAGACAGGTCGACGCATTTCATTCCTTACATACCTTTGTGCGAAATCGATGTCGTAGACGAAGTCTTGCACCTCCACTGTTGGAGTGTCCTTGTCCTGCCAACGAAAAGAAAAACGAAGGACGAAACCGACGGAAGCACCACCACGGGGGGCAAACGGGTCATGAGATTGCCGTTCGAGAAAATACCAAGGCTCCTCACTGCCGTTGCCGCCACAGCACTCACGAAAAGGCCGCATACCTAAAATACTTTGCACTCTTGATCCGGGCGACTGCTATCAAAACTCGGCGCGCTGGGTTTCAGATGTTGAACTTTCCATCGTACGGCAGTAGCCACCTATCGACAAGATTTGGTCACTTGGTGCGCATGAGGCTTGTACCCAAAGACTAATGTGAGTCCTCGCATCCCCGTGCGGTCATTTGTAAACGTTTTCACAATATATTCTAAAATCGCACAGGGGTGTGATGACTCCGGACCCCGCGCGGAAATCGATTAGTTTGGTTGTGTCATCGCACGCGGGTGGGGTGCGTTGCGTACGACCGGAGTCAATGCACAGGGGTGCGGTGAATCGCAACCTAGGGTGTCTGAGGGCCAACGATTCCGGGGCAACTTTTTACCCTGAACCCATGCCGGTGCTGGCATGTTCCCCCCGCTGTACAAACTCGAAGGCAAGTAGCAGCAACCGTGCCTACTAGCAAGTGTCACATAGTCCCATAAATGTGACCCCCCTACCGTAGCATGACTCTCCAATATTATACAGGCATCGTCGAAGACCACATGTATGTGGAGGTACATATGAAGGGGATGATTAACCATGGTAATTTCCATGATATTTTCTACGTGAACCGGTAAAAGTTGTCAACTCTCCACCAGAACACGAGAAAGGAAACAGCAGCCACAAGCCAAGCCAAGGCAACTACCCTCTGACATGATCGCCAAAGTGTCTGCTGTGTGTCGGGTGTGCGCACAACTCGACGGCGGGGAAATTTCGTGTTTCCAGGGGCGGGATTTCTTATTTCGCCGCCTTTTATTCCGCCGCATATTTCGTGTGCGTTTGAGTGTAGCATAGCATCCACCACGTGTGTGTACGTTACATGTAGAGCCTGCAACCGTAGCACAACCGAGGTATACGTACGTCCGCAAAGATCCATTCGAGTACCGCACATACCGGAGTTATCGCACAGGAGTGTGCGCTAAAAGTATTTACGTTTGTCGAGCGGTAGGTGAGAGCCATCGCGCGTGGTTTGTGCAACACGATTTTTTGCTGATGTTCCAGCAGAGGACCACTGGAATCCTGCAATGGGAGGCGCTTGCCATCGAAGTGTATCAGGTTGCCCTTGCCCGTCACAACTCAGCACGATGCCCGTTCAACAGCTCTTAATTTACCGCTGCAACATGTTCGGGTACAGTACCCCAGAATGGCTCACGGAGAGACAACAATTCCAGCAATGGCGGGCACGATTGTAGCGATCCCCTACTGTCCAGAGGGAACATGGTCGCTATTCAGGACAGGCGGCCAAAGCCGGTGTAGCAGCTACTAGCCGGGGGTGCAACGGCGGAGCCACGCAAGTTTGTGGTCGCTCATCACGAGGCGTGTCGCTAACCAGGGCATGTCGCTGAACCGGGCCCACCGCTTGCATGTCGTATAGTCTAATACTGCTGTATATTCGCACCCCCCTTTTACGGCCTCATTTCGCTCACCACAGGCACGGAGCCATCCAGGCCACCGTTCACGACCCTATCGATGCAGTGGTTGGTGGCCGTTTCCCGCACAGCGTCCGCCAAGAAAGAGCTGCTCAGGGCTCGCACGGACCCCGCCGCCGACCCCTGCCCGCTTGCCCCCGCCACCCCACCCGGAGCCCTACGCGCGGTGGTGGTGGTTGCCGAGGCTGCTGCTGCTTCTTGCCCACTCCATCTATGCCTGCTCCTGCTGGCGCAGCTTTCCCGTCTTCGCATTGCTGCGTCGTAGTGCCCGCTTCCGTCTCCGCCGTGGCCGCTGTTGCTGCTTAAGGCCGCCCTATGGGTGCTGCTGCTGGCTGCGGCTCCCGGCAACAGCCCAAGCGCCGGGGAACGGGCACGGCAGCAAGCGTTCGCGTGCCGCGCGAGGGTCGCGGCCGCTGCTGCTGTTGCTGAGCCTGAGATCCGCGAGCGCAAAAAACGCGCCACGGACACGGATGACAGGAGGGGGGTAGAGTGAATTTTCAGCGGAAGGGCGTGGTGGCAAAGGTCGTGGGTCTGCTATGCGCACGTTGGATAGATGTACAATTGCACAGTACTTTGTAGTGGGGTTGAGAGATGCCTAAAAAACATGCAGCGTACACAGGACCTGCATCCGGAGCACAGGAAACACGTAAGCGCCGTTACTGCTGAAAAGCAAGACCAGCTCCGTCGACCGCGTGCGACTACCAACGTCCCGGAGCGACGGCTGAACCTGCAAATATGTTGGCCAAGCTAACCCACGACGTGCTGCCGTTTCCCGTCAGCGCCGGCAGCAACAAGCTCGGAGCATGCTGGCTACACCCTCTGTTGGGCGGCGGTGCAGTGCGCAAAACCTCGTCTGCAGAACTCGCGTGTGTCTTCGTGGGCGTTCTCTGTGCAACCATTTGCAAACACCTTATACCGAGCTCCAGCCAATATGCACTGCGGTTCGAAACTCTATCACACCTGAACGTCTCATCCTTCGCTGTTGAGTGCCTCGCTTCGTCTGGTACTGCTGTGTATCGTGTATCTCTCACGCCGCACCAATCCTTCCGCTCTTCCGCTCAAGGGGGCGGGGGCTTCGTGAATTGTTGCACCTCGTACACGCTATTGCTGCATCATGGCTGCGAGCCCCCTTTTTGTCAGCATCGTCAGCATCCAATCCCCACGCACACACAGCTTGTTGCTTCCGTCTCTCTCCCAACAGTGGTGTCATGGGCAACACCTGCTGATCAACCCTAGAGACGTGAAAGCTCGCAATAGAATACTTCGCGTAAGATCGCCGATATCGCTCTCTCTTGATCATCGAGGTCGATGGATCCAACGCAACCTCACCAACATCATTATTATGTGCAACAACCGGCGCAGGGAGCGTGTTGGCCGCCCCCGCCCCCGCAGCCAGCGGCAGGGGCTCCTTCAGAGTACGTCTTTTATTCTAGAGTTCACAAACAGTCACTTGGGAACAGGTGGCAGCAGCAGCAGCAGCAGCAGCAGCAACAGCAGCAGCCGCAGCCGCAGCAGCAGCTGTATCAACACCCTGCTTCCCATTCTCCGCCGCGCCATTTCGGCAATCATCATCAGCAGCCCCCCTGGCAAAACCTTGGCCACCAGGCCCCTCGCCCGTACACCGCAGGAGGAGGATCGTCCGGGCCCCGCTCCTACCTCGAGCCGAGCGTGCTTCAGCGAAGTACGTTGCACCAACACCATCACCACCAACAAGGGGAAGCCTCTGCCGAGGCAATTGTTCCGAATGCGGGGCAACTACTTGCTGGATCCCCAATGTCGGTGGATTGCGGTCCTCATGCCCACCAAGCACCGGTGCTAGTCGCAGCCAACAGAGGACCGGCGGCCTGGCAGCAGCACGGCAATGCCCGGGAAAGAGGGATGGGGGGCGGAAACCGAGTCTGGATTTCAGGTGGCGGCGGGGGCTTTGGTCCGCGATCCTGGAATGACAGGCGCATGGAAGGAGGAGGAGGAGGAGGAGGGGGAGGAGGAGGAGGACATAGCGGCGAAACAACGACAGCAACACCAAATCCCACACTGAGGCAAGCGCAGCAAAGTTAGTTGCAAGTGTCTAAATGTATGTTGTGTGGATGTCATGAGCTTTGCGGCAGATTTTTTCATTGGTCGATAATGGTTGGCACGACTCCCATGCGTTCCATCGTGTTCTTGTGGCTTTTATTCACTTTAAATCAGCGCTCACAGCATTTCTGTCTACAAAAAGTAGTTCCAGTCCATAGTCACACAGAAGGAATCCTCTCCCCTGCGCACCCCTCCTGCGTTGCTTCCCCTCAATTTTTAGTGCGAGAAGAGTGCATCTTGAATCCCTTAGAAGTTTGAACTGCTGTTTGTTGTGCACGTCCAGAACGGCGGCGCAACGTAAGGAGATAGAGTCAACTTGGGCCGAGGCTGAATTGATTTCGTCGTCGCTACCGTCGAGCACAGGGTATGATATAGAGTGAGTGTCGGGTCCACCGCTGCTGGGCTGTGTGTCTCGATTCTTTTTGTCATGAATATTTGATCCTCCATTTCTCGACGGAATCTTTCGAATTTGGCGGGACGTTCGTTGTGCGTAAGTTAATTCCCCGAGTGACGCATCTTGAGTACGCGGAGGACATGAGAACGGACGTTGGGTTCGTCACAGAGATCCCGAGCTCGGTAAAGATCAGTTGGAACTAACCTGACTCCACCCTGCTCGACACACCCAAAATCACCGACAGCAGTAAGTGGGCTCCGACAGGGGGAGCAAACCGTTCCGCCACGAAAAGAACCCACTACCCGCCGCCGCAGCAGCAGCAGCAGAAGACTCGGAAGCAAGGAAGGCGCGCCAGACAACAACATGCAATTTTTTTGCGCGCTCAGCCCCCGCCCCCCTGTGGCCCGCCTGCCACTGCTGAGTGCATGAAGGCTCTGGGGCTGGTGGCCGTGTCCGGAATGATCAGTGTGAGCACTGGCCTGGAGGGGACGTGTGTGGACCTGAGCAACGCTTGCCGGGAGGGGGCACCGTGGTTAGTCAAGACAGGGCGTTGGTCGGATAAGATTCCCCTTCGGTTGCGGCAGTTTTGGCCTCTCGGCAGGGAAGACCGGCGTACGCTGCAGCTCGCGCCGAGCCGGCTGATACAGCGCAGGATGGTGAAAGCCCTGACGATTTTGCACAACGACCACATCGGAGAAGATTTCGCCTGGCCGGTTGGGGTGGAGAAAGTGAACTTTAAATACAAGGACCTCGGAGATGTCAAGTGGCCAACGACCATGACGGAAGTCCGACTTTCCTGGGACTTCGCTCAAGCGGTCGAACACATTGTGTGGCCGAAAAGCCTCAAAGAACTGGATTTTGGGAACTACTTCAACTCCCCGGTGGAGGGCGTGGATTTTCCCGACGGACTGGAGCGGATACGGTTTTCGCGGTGTTTCAATCAACCAATCACGGAAGTGAAGTGGCCGTCGCGACTGCTGGTGTTGAAGTTCGGCGAAAAGTTCAACAGGTGACAGAGTGGCAAGCCGTTTTGTTCTGTCGATAGTAGACGTCGGTGTCAGAGGCATGATAGTTGTGTTGGCTGGGCTCCCGATGGGTGTGCGTTCGCTCCTCCTCTTTTGGCGTCGTGTTCCCACCTGCACCTGCAACTCTCACTCGTCGAATTCCTAGGGTAGTAGAGGAAATTGATTTCAGCGGGCAAGAGAATCTCATTTCTTGCTCTCAACACAGCTGCAATTGCCTGCTTGTCGCCTTGGGGGGACACAGGCCGCTGAATGGAGTGATTTGGCCAGACACCCTGAAATACCTCGATTTCATTGGACAAGACTTCAACCAGCCTATACACGTTACGCCCCTGCCGCGAGACTTGGAGGTGCTTATGCTTGGCGACTCCTTCGATCAGCCCCTGGATACTGTAGTCTGGCCCAAAGGCTTGTTGGAGGTGTTCATAGGGCACGGGTTCACTGAACCCGAGAGTCCTCGATTGGCGGACGTGGTGTGGCCGTCGAGCCTTCGGATGTTGTCGGCTCCGAGGATGAATATCGGGCATTTGCCGAAGGACTGCTGCCGCGACTTCGTTGGCGACTCCGATGACGATGAGTTCTTCGAAGTCCCATGGCTAGTGGGTGAACCGTGGCCCCTCGGGTTTGCCGGCGGCGGTGGCGTATTCGGGATGGGTGTGTTGTGGGATACCGATAGTGACTGAAGAAGTTGTCCCGGCTGCCAGTATATGGTACCCGGTTTTTGAGTTTCGAATGGGGCATGCCTCTTCGTGTCGACGCTGCTGGTTGGCCGGTATTCCCAGAAGCTCCAATTGTGGAGGTTCTCCTAGAACTTGCACGGCCCATGATTGTTTTGTCGTGGCCGACGCTCGCTGACCACATGTTGGTGCCATAGCCCGATACGGTACCTCCCGTAGATAGATAGAGCCCAGGGAGCGTTATCCTCCAGTGAGTGTAATGTTCGAACACAGAGCATCATTTCCCTGTAACAAACTGATGAATTTGGTCTCACGCACATCAGCGAGAGAGAGCACCTACTTGCACGAAGAGAGCAGCCGCTTGCTGCTGTGAACTGCTACTGGAAAACCAACCGCAACACACGAACACCGTTCGTTGTTTAGTGCAACGCCAACACGGATCGAGCAGTGCGCACACTTTTCTCTCTCGAAAAACCCGACTTCGCAAATAACGGGACGTAGTTCTCAAGAAGATTATGTTGGTGGGATGCTGGATCGGGATCAGATTCTCCCGCTGTCTTGCCAATCCTGAGGAGAGCAGGTTGGTATGTCTCATCTTCGAGTGGTTCTTATCTCTGCCGCGAACGAGGAAAGGTCAACGCACTCTAACGCACATGTTCTGTAGTATTAATAGCTCATTGCTGCCCTCCATGGTGGCTAGGTTCTGTCTTAACCAGATCCGCATATAGTATGCGTAGACCCTCGACTTGTGTAGCTAGTCGCATCTTCAGGAGAGCGTACCACCTAGGCGCAAAAAGCACGGACGCCGGTGTTGAACTCTCTCACACGCATGGATCAAGCGACAACCAGGCTCTCTCTCTCCCCTAGTCTGCCGAACAAAACACCAAAACATGCATGGTATGCAAAACATGCATGGTAAGCATCCGCTTTCGATCGTACACATGAGCCACGCTGGCAGGCGTTGTTGGTCTTGGTAATTGTTGTTGTTGTTGCTGTTGTTTTCGACGGAAAGCCGTGCCGGTCTCCACTCGTTTCGTACATTCGTACCGATCCAACTGACGCCCACACCTGTCTTGGACACAACTCAACACCTCAAAAGGTGCACACACTCAGGAAAAAAACACACAAAGAAACCAAGGGCCTACAAAAATCATCACAGACACCACAACCGAACCGAAGAGGAAAAAACGAAAATCGAACCAGCCATTAGTCTACTCAGATGTCACTAGTGACATATCGGGCGAAACGAGGCCTAAAAACGCAAATGTAGCCTCATAAGAGCCCAAGGACATCACTCCCGTTCGGCACGCGATGCCAAAAAAATAACACTTGCCTAAATAAGGGAAAGTGTGAAAGGAAAAGTCAACTTTCTACACGACGACGGTCATAAGAGATGTGCGCGCGCTCTCTACTAAATGATCTGCGACTTCTACTGCAATGCTACCTAAACATCTTTCGACTATTACTCCACCCCCGTCGCTCTGCTGCTGCGTGTCTCTCGAGCAAAATCCACTAGCCTAGACACCCCTCTATTGGCGGTCGCATGGAGTAAACGCTCTGGTTTCTCCGAGCTGCACACGGTCATCGTGCAAGTGCCGTGTGACAACCCACCAACCCGCCCTATCGCTAGCCTTGTGAGGAATCCCCGCGCAGTTGTAAAGAAACTCGAACACGTGACGAAGAAAGTCGTGCCGGACCTTTCGTCCGTTGTAGTACGTCATCCGGGCACATGCCACTATCATCACCAACTACCGGGGGCATCTATCGGCGTGGAATGATGGGAAAACAAACCACGCCGTCCTAGGTAGCGACGGGTTTCACTTCATAATGTACATCGACATCGCGAAGAGTAGCACGTGGTCAACCCAAATACCACACCAACAAGCATACTGTACTACCTTGGAACACGACCAACGTGAACAACAAGGATAGCACCACCACCAACACCAACATCACCTAGTAAACTAGTTCTGCTAAAACATGGCACTAAGCTCACGCCAAAACCCGGCAAACAAAGAACCGACATCCCAAACCTGCGCCCGAAACGTAGCATAGCCAACCAGCATAAGGTCGTCCCTGGAACCCTGGTTCCAACTCCTCTAAATGCGTTGTCGTTCCTCGTTCCCACCCGCATTGTCACTATCCTCCTCTCTGCCTGTCTCCTGCTCCGCACTCCCATTGCTTTCGAACTCTGAATCTAGTCACTCCAATTGTCAAACGCCTGTGGAGCGGCTGCAATCACCACGATTTCGCTCGATAGCCCCCAGAGTATTTCCCAGCCACAGGATTGGTTGTCACCCCCCCCCGTCCAGAAACTTTGGGGCTTACGCCTCCAGCCCCCAGCTGCCTGGTTCTCATCTATACACTCGCCGCTTTCCTACTTGCACCCGCAATACTTACTCCTACTGGGCGCGCTCTTGCCCTCATTTTCCGTCCAAAAGGAGCACCTGTTGTAATGGCCAACCTTCTAAAAATGTTGTTCGACGATCAAGTTTTCCAACTTATCGAGTTTGCCACAGGCGGCGCGTACTGTAATGCCCATCTTGTCCACCGAAATACCACATTCAAAACTTTTCGGAAGCAACAGCTCTGATCGCAACCCACCTAGATCATGCCCTCTGTCCATCGGAATGCTGCGCGACTACAAAGCCAATACTGATCAGGCTAAGATGTTGGATACGACATCTTCTTAACAATTCGAACGATGACATCCAATACCAACAAACATGGCGAACTAAAAGAAAACACGCAAATATCTCAGTAGGAATACACACAACACCGTGAGGCGGACGGAGCCCACCAATCTATGCGTTCGCTACACCGAGCGCGACAGTCTGGTCCTGAGAACCTTAAGGAACAAACAGCTGCCAAATAATTTAACAGCAACCAAGTAACATCTTACCTTCCACGACAGACGGTGCAGGCCATGTCACCACAGCGAGACGCCGTACCCGGAAACAATCGCCACGCAAACACAAGTGGCGAGGCTTACGACACCAGCAGCGGTAGCCGTCATCATCTGCGTAGCATAACCACCGGCGACCCTCGAACTCCCTCCACTAACCTCCGTGTTCGCGTCGGGTGGGCTGCTACCAGCCGGGGTTGGCGCGACTACCGCAGCCATGCTTGTAGGAGAGACGGTCGGGGCAACGGAAAAATCTTGAATATCATCACCATCATCATCGACGGATGATGGGTTACTCACAGGCGAGGCCGTGGGGGGCTGTACGGGATCGGCGCCGCCGCCGCTGCTGCTGCCGCTAGTGGCGCTGGTCCCGCAGCCGCACACGAGAAAAAACTCGTCGTCGTCCACCGGCAACAGTTGACCGCTGCCATCAACGTCACCTGCCGATTGACAACCATTAGCACGAGCACGGCCCGGAGCAGCCAGTTTCAACACGTTGCGCCCTTCCGGAGCTGTTCTCTAAGCAAACGTCTTCCTGCACTACTGAGTACGAGACGTTGACTGGGGCTTTCGCAGCCGCAGATGAGGAGACAAATATTGTTGTCCTAGGGCTCTCTTATCATCCCATCGATGACTCAGCGTCGAAAGCAAAAAGTAATAAATAACATGGCAGCGATAAAAATCACGCAGAGATATGCTGTAGACGTATGGTAGCGTCGAACGTCGGACGAGCCTAGCATGAGCAAGGTTCTTGATCAACCGGGTGAATAGGGATCGATTTGCCTGAGGGTGATGAAAATCGGAAAGGATGCGACAAGAGCGTCCTCTTGGGTAATATCAGAACAGAAACAAAGCGCATCAGTCCTGTCGTTTCAAGATATCTGCCGGTCACATACCATCTGCATTAAATCAGTGCGGTTGGTGCGGCGTTGCGCACGCGCACATCGGAAAAAAGGGACCCCATGAGGACCTGCTTGAACGTTTTATGAAGACCAAATCGAGTGTTTCGGCTAAAAATAGACCTGTATCGATTTGACGCTAGTTTGTATGCCAAATCGGGATTCAACACCCGCGGAGTCGCCACCGGGAGTTGACGTGGCCGCCAAAAAGGTAAGGTCATGTGCACCACAGCGAAGGTGGAAATAAAAAATCAGCCAAAATGCGAGGCGAAGCGATGTATCAGTGGGTGGTGCGAGTGGTCCAAGCTCCATCCTCAACCTTGTTATACAACTTTTAATTTGCTCTACACTGTATTTGCTTGACGGAATGTTTTTTTTCGCGGATCCCGCCGCCTACAAACGAGTATATTCCAGTCGCCAGTACTCCGCCAGGTACAACGACGTTTCGGGTTCACTACATCGGTCCACGACATACTTGCAGTCAGCTATGCATAGCACAGGGTACATGTATCCCAATCGCGAAACAAAATCACGGTAGTCAAACGCAAGTACCACGATGTCCTTGACGGTTGCACCGGCCCTTGTGCATCGCGCGTGGATTTCGTGACGAAGGACCCTGGCTGCCGGAAGCCAACCTCACGGCCGGCCGTATGGATGCGCACGAACCAACTTGCAATGCCAGGTCACGAGCATGAAGCACTCACATTGCCAACTCGCGGCCCCAGGGTGGATATGAGTTGCCGTCGTCTCGACCGAAAGACAGTCAATCGTGACACCATCCCCCGAAAAAACCGCTAGCTCTGACACAGCCCAGAAAAACTGTCGGTCCAGTATGCAGCAGCAGCAGCAGCGTCAACACGGCGTGGAATTGCATGGGAAGAAGGCGCTTGTAAGCAGGCATGTGGTGACCACAAGTGTTCTTGCGTTGCGGTGGTAACGCGTTGGCAAGTGGTCGAGGGGAGGGAGGTGCCACCGTAGAAGAGAGGTCTGCCCGATGCAACCATACAGGTAGCGTTTTTTTCCCTATCAAATGTACAGGTGTCAAATCGACAACGTTTTTCGACGCTTCTGCCAGACGGGGGTTGAGAGAGGCGCCAGACCTGTAGTACACCGGTGAGAGCATCAAAAAGGGTCGCAACGGTGCAACTCCAATACTCATGCGTTGATTAGCCCGCCCACCCTGCTGATCGCCCCGTGGTTCA